AGGTGAAATCACAGAAGATCCTAAAAGGCCAGTCATGTAGCAAAGCTAGATAACACACAAGGAATTGTGGGTTTGAGCCCCAGCATCAAATGAATATAGCATGGCAGTAGGTTCCTTAGTCTGAGAACTCAGGAGGGAGCTGAAGGAGGAGCTGAGCTTCAGGGTTCTTTCTGGTCATAAACAGAGTTCAAAGCCAGGCTAATCTTATCTCACCTTGATTTTTAAAAAAAACATCTCTAAGTTTCTTCCAAATCCCATATTTCTGAGAACACTCACCATTTCCTTTGAGGAACCATTTGATATACGTTCCCAGAGAGCCGGGGTCCTTTATATAGTTTGTCTTACTCAAGAAAAAATAACCAGATACAAGCACATCTCTGGGATTTCTGATGAGATAGATCATCTAAAATGAAAACAAAATGTAAATAAGTGTTAATATATTCATTCCTTACCTTTCATTTTTCTTTATTTTTAATTTTTATTACAGTTTATTCCCTTCGTGTTCTACCTGTAGCTCCTTCCCTCTTCCCATCCCAATCCTATTCTCCCTCTCTCTTCTCCCCCCATGGCCCTTCCGCAGTCCTCTGATACGGGAGGTCCCCCTCCCCTTCCATCTGATCCTAGTCTATCAGGTATCATCAGGAGTGGCTGCATTGTCTTCCTCTGTGGCCTGGTAAGTCTGCACCTCCTCACCCCCTGAGGGGGAGGTGATCAAAGAGCAGGCCAATCAATTTATGCCTGAGACAGTCCCTGTTCCCATTACTAGGGAACCCACTTGAACACTGAGCTGTCTTGAGCTACATCTGTGCAGGGGTTCAAGTTATCGCCATTAATTGGTCCTTGGTTGGAGCATCAGTTTCAGAAAACACCCCTGTGTTCAAATTTTTTGGTTCTGTTTCTCTCTTTGTGAAACTCCTGTCCCCTCCTGGTCTTTCTATCTCCCCCTTCTTTCATAATATTCCCTGCACTCTGCCCAACTCTGCAGGGTAGAGTCTTTCAAAGGCTCTCTGTGGTAAGCTCCTGTCCTTTTCCCTGTTTCCCCCTCTTCTGATGTCCATCTTCTTTGCCTTTTTGAGTGAGGATTGATCATCTTACCCAGAGTCCTCCTCCTTGATTAGCTTCCTTAGGTGTACAGATTTTAGTATGTTTATCCAATATTATATGTCTAATGTCCACTAATGAGTGAGTATATACCCTGTGTGTCTTTCTGCTTCTGGGTTACCTCACTCAGGATGACCTTTTCTAGTTCTCACCATTTGCCTGCAAATTTCATGATTTCATCGCTTGTAATTGCTGAGATTCCTCACCTTTTAAATGGCACAACTTATATGAGATGTCAATAAAAAATTCATTAGCTTCCTAAAAAACATTTCTTATTTTTATTTAGACAAAATATATGCATCAGTGCAAAAATTATTGTCACAGTATTTTTATCATTTTATTTGATTTTCAGAAATATATTAGCCAAATGACTAAGGTTATTAATAGCATAAAAACAAAACAAAACAGACTGATTCAACAGTTCAACAGATCACAATAATAACTGGTTGTGCAATACCAAATGCCCAGCCCTTAAAACATACATACAAGTAATATAGTACTGACTGAGAACGTTGTGCTGAGTATTAGGAATATGCAGATACATATATATGTATAGACATGACATGAATTAATGAAAAAAAACCCATAAATTTGAAAGAGAGAAAGGATGGTATATGGGTAGACTTGGAGGGAGGGGGAAGGGGAAATGATATCTGTGACTGTATTTTATTTATAATCTCAAAACATCAAAGAAATACGTTAAAAAGTAATCATTTTTAATAAAAAGGAACTTATGTTTTCTAGAATTCATATATTTAGGCTTCATTTCCCACAGCCAAAATCCAGAAGACAAATGCATATTGACGAATGGTCACAACTTCGTTGAAACATTTTCAAGAGAGAATGTTTTTTGATGTTTGTCTTTGTTGTTCAAGAATAAAGTATTTTTAAATTCCAGCGTGGAAGGAATCCAGAAATCTTTCTTATAACTAGGAACTCTGATAGGTGAGAATCTGCGTGTTTCTGATCCCTTCTGTTGATCCTCTATCGGTTACAAGGGAGATTCCTGTGGCTACTGATCTACATTGACAGCGACACACAGTAAGACTGTGGGTACAAGTGACTTTTGAACATCTCCATGATTAGAGCACTGAGGCTTGGTCAGGCTGCTTCCCTTATGAACAACTGTGCCTTGGGTGATTCACCCACAGGACATGGGTATTTGCAGAATTAAGATTGGCTAATTGGCTTTGACAACAATAACAGTAATATCCACGGTACACTAGAGTCTGACCTCTGCTTGACCTGTATATGTAGCTCCTGAATGCTCCAGTGTGAAAAGTCAAAATTCTGCCAGGATCACTGTGCAGTGTTGGACACCCTGGCGATCTAACGTAGTCTGAGGAGGGGACACATCAGCATCACCCAGTGCATAAGAATCCCAGCTTCACCTCCCCTGACCTACACAATCAGAGTGCATTTCAGCAACATCTCCAGGCCGGCCAGGATTGAATTGTTCAAAGAGCACTTGGTCAAAAATCTTAACCGCTGGACACTGACCTTGGGCTTGGAACTGAAGATAGACTTGGGGAAAAGATGGATGGGCAGGTGGGAGGTGATGAGTTGTGGTCCCTCCTTATTGATTAATGCTTCATATCCTACTTCAGACTCTAGCCATGGTGAACGGTCCCAGATGGGCACAGATTGGATCCACTTGTTATCCCCCTTGGTCTGAATCAAGCAGACAATCTCAATCAGCCAGTTTGTTCCTGAACGAGAAGGAAAGGTGATCATCACGCATTTCAAGAGTACTAGTGAAAAAGCCTCAACCAGAATATACAACATACAATTTACTGTGCAGCTTGTAATTGTTTTTAAGCACACAGACCTGCAGTGTTCACAAGGTCCACACAGGCTAAGTACAAAGTCTATTCATCCAGCACATTCTCCAGGCTTCATCTTGCAAAACTGAAAGTAAATACCCCAATAAACACCAGACTGCCTACAGAATTTCCCCCCAGCTCTGGCCGTCATTATTCTATATTCTGGTGCAATGAATTTGACTTCCCAAGGTATTTCACAGGGATGAGGTCATAGCATCTGTCCTTTGAGACTGGCTCATTTAATTTAATGCAGTGTCATGGAGGTGCAACCAACTGCAGTGTGTGACTGAGGACTTCTTGTTAAGGTGAACAAATCTCCTTGTGTGTATTTACCACACACACACACTTGCATTTGTGTTTGTGTGCTCTTGTGTCAGTGGATGTTTCTCTAGCTTCCCTTCTCTGGGCTGTTGACTGAATTTCTTCCTGTGTTCCCACAGCCTTTGGTTTTTCCAAGTCATTGATCTTTCAGTGTGAGCAGCCTAATGCTTACCCAAGGTACAGTGCTTCATCCACCCAGCAAACACCCCCCCCCACCAAAAAAACCCCTCCTTGATGCCCTTTTGTGTTTCTTTATTTTCAGTGTCTTTCCAGTACCTGGACAAGGCCCATGGTAACTCTTCTACCTGACACTGTCCTCTCCTCCCCGTATTCTCACATCCATGCTTTAATGTCTTGATGCTATTTCTTCAGTTTCTTCTCATAACTCTCCCTCTTCCACTCTCTCTTTCCTACACACACAGAGAACAATGCCAGATTCTGCATCAGAATCCACTGTCATTGCTCTGGTGTCTTAGCTGATCACCTCTGCCCACATGTAAGTCAGATTAGATACTCTCATGCTCAGCTCTTCATGCCCACAAATCCTTTTACATATCATATATATAGAGCACCCGGCTCATCACCCAAATAAATGGCAATCCAAGTCTTAACCTTTTTCATACAATTCAAAATCATTCTCCCTGATGGTCCTTACCTGACTTGGGGTAAGTCAGTATGATCGTGTCTTCTTCTCTTATCAGAAAGTTATTGCGAACCTCTTCTATGATTTCTCTTTTATACCCTATGGTAGGGAAAGGTATTCCTTCAAACCAAATGTAGTCAGACATGGCAAAGAGCTCTTTGAATGCGCTGTTAGGATTAAAGCCTTGGCCACCTGTATAGCTCTAGCCAACACTGAGAGGTAAAATTTATAATGCAGGCAGAAAATCATTAACATTCCCTAGTCTCTTATGAAACTAACTACTGATAAGAAGAAATCAATATTGTAATCTACAGTCAAAGATCACTGAAATAAGCAATTTTGAACTCATATAGAGATCATTTTGCAACACTTGTGAGCCTGAGTTCATGACCCTAAACCAGAAAACTCAATAACAAGTAATAGGGCATAGAAATGCAGCTTAACGTGAAATGTTTTCTCATCCATTTTAGCTCTCATGATGGCTTGAAATGTGCAGAAAAGTGACAGAGATCATGATCAGCTGCACTACTCCACTCCTCCCACAGTCCTCTCCCCTCTCACCCTCTCTTCCTTCCTCATGTTAATGAGCTCTTCTTTAACTTTCATTGCTCTTCATATATGCACACATGTATATACAACCTACGGGGTCCATTTAGTTCTGCATCCTGAGGTGAGCAGTTGAGAATGAAAAACCAATGTGGGATTTCATCTCCAGACACAGCTTACTCTCCCTCTCTCCCCAGCACCAATGTATTTCCTCATCCAAGAAGACCATGGAGTCCCTGCCCTTACTGCTGTGCCCAGTGATGTCACTATGCTGGTTTCTTTGGTAACTGTGTTGTTGAGAGTTCGTGGATCTATTTTTGTGCATATCTAGGAGATATATTCTATCAACAGGCACCCTGGGACTCTGGGAGCTTTCTGTATCTTTTGTCTTTCTCTGTGAGTCTTAGGTTGAAGGAATTTGTTGCAAATGTACCAGCTGGGGTTGGGCCCCTTATCGCCAATTATTATTTGCCTTTTAACAGTTGTGGATCTTTGTGAGCATCTCCCATATTGCAAAAAGAAGCTACTTTGCTAAGGGGTGGTGGTCGGAAGAATTGGATGTACCCATGTGAGTAAGGACAGGATGTAGAAACATCCGGAAATTAAACTCCTTTAGGAAACTGACAGTCCTGAATTCTCCTCTTGAGTTTTTCCCTTTCCAATCCCAAGTGCTTGTCTATGTTACAGAACTAGACATGGCTTCCCTGTTTTTGAATAGGCTTTAGGGCCAACTGAATAGCTTTTCATTCCCCCAAGATTAAGGTGGCAGCATTGTGCCACTCTGTCTTGCCAGTCCTGTCAGAGACAGCCCCTACTCCCTTTACTAGGGAACCCACACGGAGACAGAGCTGCCTATTGGCTCCATCTGAGCAGGGGTCTAGGTTATATCCATGCATGGTCCTTGGGTGGTGCATCAGCCTCTGCAGGTCCCCTGGGCCAAGATATGTTGATTCTGTTGATCTGCTTGTGGAGCCCCTGTTTCCTCCGGGTCCCTCTGTCCCCCCACTGTTTCCTAAGACTTAATGAACTCTGCCAAATGTTTGCCTGTGAGCCTTAGCATCTGCTTTCTTCCCCTGCTGGGTGGAGTCTTTCAGAGAACATCTATGGTAGGCTCCCGTCCTCTTCCCTCTCTTCAACCGCTTCCACTGTCTATTCTATTTGCCCTTCTGAATGAGAATTAAGCATCCTCCCTAGTGTCCTCCTTGTTGTTTAGCTCCTTTAGGTCTGTATGGTTATCCTGCATTATAAGGCTAATATCCACTTATAAGTGAGTATATGCCAGGCATGTCTTTCTGCTTCTGGGTTACTTTCACTCAGGACGATCTTTCCTAGTTCCTATCCGTTTGCCTGCAAATTTCATGATTTCCTTGTTTTTAATAGCTGAGTAGTGTTCCATTGTGTAAACGTAGCACACTTTCCTTATCCAGTCTTTTTCACTGTCTTCATAGTGTCCAGTTCTGAGTCTGTGTGTTAATTACCATCAACTGCCAAAATGACCTTTCTGAGGAGGGTTGACATATGGGTGTCGTGATATGGCATTAGGAGTCATTTTATTGCTATGTTGGTTTAGAAGACTACCCATAGGCACATAATCTATCTGCGGTCAAGTTCCTTTTTCCATTGCTAGGCTCAGGTGTGGGTTCCATCTCATGATGTTGGATTTTAATCGGATCAAATAGTTGTTGATTTGATTTGTGCCATATTGCACCAATATGACATTGAAGGTGTCACTGTTGCAGGTCATAGGACTTGTAGTTGTGTGAGACTGAGGACACCTTTCTCCTCCTATAGTGTGCATCGTACCTTCCAGTGGTATTCATGACAACGAGTAGAAATGAAGCTTCTTGTTTGACACCATCTCAGTTTCTCCATGTTCAGTGGTGTAAGTTAAGTTGTATCTTCAGAAAGAGGGCCTTACTATCAAGTTATGGAATGTAACAAATAACATTGAAAACAGCCTATAATGTTTGTGCATGCCTGTGTGTGTGTGTGTGTGTGTGTGTATGTGTGTGTGTGTGTGTGTGTATGAGATCCCTTTGGCCAACAACTCACAAGATGTAACCAATTCTGGTACTGGAGATTTTACTTGGTGGCATATGATTTCTAGTTAGTGCCTTGTGTGCCACATATGTCATAACACAAGCTAAATACTTTTTATTCATTTTAGGAAGCTTCTAATGTTTAAAGTTTCCATATGCCTTTTTACTTATTTTTTTAATTAATTAATTTACTTATTCATTTTACATCCCACTCATAGCATCCTCCCTTCTCTCCTCTCAGTCCTTCCTCCCTCCCTTCCTCACCCATCCTTATTACCCCTTCCCCTATTCTTTAGAAAAGGAGAGCCCCCCTACCCACCCACCTCAGTTCATCAAGTCACATCAAGATTGAGTTCCTTCTCTTCTCCCGAGGCCTGCTGTGGCAACCTCACCAGACAGAAGTAATCAAAAAGTAGACAACAGAGTCCATGCCAGAGTCAATCTCTGATACTGTTAAGGACAGTCTGCTATGATGGCCTAACATAGTTGTCCACTGAGAGGCTCCACCCAGCAATGGATCAAAATAGATGTTGAGACTCACAGCCAAACACTGGGCAGGGCACAGGGACCCTTATGGAAGTATGGGGGGAAGGATAAAAAGGATCTTGAGGGACAGGAGCACTACAAGAAGACCAATAGAGCCAACTATCCAGTGGGGCTTTGTGTAATGAATCGCCAACCAAGAACCATGAATGGACTGGACCTAGGTCCCCTATACATATGTGCCTGGTGGGTATCTTTGTCTTCCTGAAAAGGGAAGCTGGTGCTGTGTGTGACAAAGACTGCTGCATGCTTTTCTCCCTGGAAGGGCTGCCTAGCCAGGCCACTGTGAAAGAGGATGCACTCAGTCCTGGTGTGACTTGATATGCTGGGGTGGGTAGGTAATGGGGGATACCCTTCTCAAGAAGTGGGGGTTGTGGATGGGGGAAGAGGGAGGCAGGAACAGGGAGTGGAGGAGAGAGAGGCCCACAACTGGGAGGCAAAATGAATAAATACATTAATTACAAATATATCTCCTAGATATGACAGAGAAAATAGACCGTGAACTCTCGCCAGTACAGTCACTCAACAAACCAGCATAGTGACACCACTGAGTACCCCAGGGAGGCCAGGGATATTGCAGATGCTCTTACCTAGATGAAGAAATTCATCATATGGAAGGCTGCTGAGAGAGGGAGAGTCAGCTGTGTCTGCAGAGGAAATCCTACATTTGTGTTCTAATCTCAACTGCTCACCCCAGAACACATTTACATACAAGTAGAACTAAACAGACTCAGTAGGACAAAGGCATTTGTCCTAACAGAGTGCTGCTGTATCTAGCTGTCTATTGAGATCAGGAGCCACAGGAATCTTCCATGTAACTGACAGAGCATCACCGGAAGGGATCAGAGTACCAGGTTCTAACCTCTCAAAGCTCCTGGTTAGTAAGAAAGTTCTCTGACGTCCCTCCACTGTGGCATCTAAACATATTTTATGCTTGAACTACAAAAACAAGGTTAAGAAAATCTCTCTTGAAAATATGACAATGAAGTTGTGACCGTTCACCTATATGCATGTGTCTTATCTGGATTTGGTAAATGCAGCACCCTTTTCAAACTATTTTATTTGGGCTTCTTATGCCTCTATCTCCCTTCCAATCCCCCAACACTAGGCATGAGAGAAAGGTTAGTGGTTAGTGAGTAGAGAGACCATAGTTCTCTCCAGCTACTTTCTGCTGCTCAGGGTTGTTAGGTTTCTTGCTGCAAGTCCAATCTTCACTTCAGGATATCTCCAACTTTCCAACTTCTTTTCATCATCAAACTACATCAGCAGCAACCAGGAGCAGTGTGGAGAACTGCTGGTCTGCCAGGCTGCTCTGCTATTTTGATCTCAGTGGGAAGACATGCTTTAACCCTGGCCTTCACTGGAGTCAGTGATTTCCTACTGCATCTATCTCCTTTTGTTTGAGACAGCAGGTGGGAAGTCTTGTTAAGTTCACACTTTTTGCTTATGTGAGGATCACACAGATAGGTGGTCTAGAAAAAGAAGTTTTGACTTCCCTGGGAATTCATTCATTGTACTAAGGTGCTTTTTCTCTGACTTAAAAGGGTCAGTCTGGAATAAGTCAAGGTGACTATTTTTTCTACTAGAGCCTCTCAGAAAGGTCCCATTGTCTTGTGTGTTGGTTTATTAATCTTTCTTTCAATCTCACTCCCAACTCAAGAACCGTTCAACTCTGCTGGAGGGCTTCAGCAGAGCAGCAAGGGGGAGCAACAGCCTCCTTCTTCTTTCTCAGGAACCCAGCCCCTACCCCTTCTCTCCTGGGGCTCTGGCATTTATTCTCTCTCCAGAGTCCTCTGAATCAAACTATCTGCAGCTTGCAAAGAGCCCCTCTCAAAGACAGCACGGAGCAAATACCTTGATGTTGAGGACAATCTGATGCAGCCCCATATCCCATACCTGGGATAAAAACAAAAATAAGTTTACAGAACATAACAGGGTCTTTAAAGACACCAAAAGTTCCACTACAGGTAAACTTTTGACTGTGGAAATTGAAGCCTAAAAAGATGAGTTCTAGAATAATTGGTACAAAAACTAATGATTTTATTAAAAATGATTACCTTTTAATTGATTTCTTTTATATTTTGAG